ATCTAGCTTTCCCTTTTTCTTCACATCTCCTTTTCCTTTCTGAGAGAAGCAAGAACAGACACTCAAGATCAGAATTTCCAGATCCACATCACACCACGAACCAGTCACTTCCAAAAACAAGTTTTTGTGCACGTGGTCAGACTCACCTTGGATTGGTAATCAGCTCCAATGTCCTGGCGGCCTCCCAGGGGTCTGTGGATACCTGAGCCTCCAGCTGAGGGAGAGCAAAACACAAATACTGTCAACATGACATCTTGGAAGCTGTTAAAACTGTCACCTTCAAAAAAAATGACTTCATTGACCTTTATATGAAAGCTGAGGTTCGACGTCCATGTCGTCATCAAAGTTGTCATCTCGAAACTTCCTTTTCTGTGTCTTTTTCTGAAAGTGTTGTGAAGGAATCGACCAAACAGTGAACACAACAGTCATGACATGTCTCACAAATGAACAGGATATGTACTGTAAGTACTCACACTTTTGACTCCTGCCTCCTCCAGGATGTCTTTCATCTCTCCCCCATCTGTGAGGAGAGTGAAGCGTTACTGTTACAGCCTGTTCAGACATAAAGCAATGAAAGGGACGGTACTGGACTCCACTTACCTTTGTCTTTTACGTCCTCCTCTTCATCATCTCTAATGATTAGCCGTCCGTCTGAGGTCACTTTAAAGCCATGCTCAACCTTGGCACTCTTTTTCAGTTCTGGGTTGGTGGCTGAGAAACAACACACATCTTGTTAACTCTACAGAATACAAAAAGCTCATTTTTTGATGACTCAAGAGGCCTCAAACACAAATAATGAAGGACTTCATTACCCAGCACTCTCTGGGAAACCTTTGGATCCAGGAAGTTAAGTGGGTCATCTTCCCCTCCCTCTTTGAGCCAGGCCCGTCCTTTCTGCTGTTTGCCTCCTTTCTTTTGTACATTACGAGACTTTCCTTCATCCTCCGACAAATCGCTGTCAGACTCAGCAAGAATGTCCTCGATGCTTCAAAGGAGAAGACAGAAGATTTTTACAGAGGAAACAGGAAACTGCAAGAAGAAAAGTAGGGTTTTGCATCGGGAAAAGCAGTCTACCTTTCGCTCTTTGTTTTAGGCGCCTCCTCTTCGCTCTCCGAGTCGTCGTCCTCCTCTGTGGCCTGTTTCCTCCTCTTGCTGCGAGCCTCGGCTTTGCGGATGTTTGCCAGCACCTTGTGGTGTTCTGCAGGCAGCATGCTCTTCACCAGCTCAAAACTGGAAAACACAGCAGATAATAAGACACATGCACAGAAAATAAAAACAGTGCATGACATAGCTGTGCTATACATTTCATAAAGAAGACATCCAGTGTAGAACTGGCTGTAAACATTATGTGAATACACACAGAGAGGTAGGAAAATAAACACTACGTACAAAACACAACATTTTGCGAAAGTCAAAATATAAACGCTATAAATACAAAAGAATAGCACGGTCATGTTTATGTGGAACCATCTCATCTTCAGTCTGAACCTCTATTTCAAAACGTTATAAAACCAAAAATTCATTTTTAAGGTTAGTGTCTGATTTGATTAATAAACAATCATGGGGCTGCTAACATCCTGTAATATCAGCAACACCTGCAGATCAGATATCACCGCAGAAATCAGTAACTCAGCTCATTTCAAGAATACAATGAATGACATTTGTTTTCCAGGTTAAATATCCACACAAAAAAACACAAAGTCACTTGACAAAACAAGAGTTTAGACCCCCATAGGAGTAGAAAAACATTTGCTGATATAGACATTGCATTAACACACAGCACATGCTAGCTGAAGGTGCTCAGCTAAACACCATAATACCTAAAAGCTCACGGAGCACTTACCCAAACTTTCTGATAAATTTAGTGAAGATGTTCTTTAGTTTGGTTCTAAAGTGCCTCCTTACATCATCCTGGATGTTTCCAATGCCCTCCATCTGAACACAAGAAAGAATAAAAAAACAAAACTCTTTAACATGTGCCACAAATATCTTAAATATGTGACTCCCTGGAACAAGAATGCACGATGCATACCATGACAGCGACATGCGAGGCCAACGTCTTGGGGTCCATGATGAAGAGAATGACCTTGATGAAGCCTAAGGCAGCTTTGACTATCTCTCTGGTGCGAGACGACAGCAGCAGACAGACGTTGTGCAGCAGCTGCTCCATGGTGGTCACCTCGATAGAGTCTAGGAACAAAAGGGCAGCAGAATGAATCCTGTCCTCAAATATAGGCTTTCAAATGACCACCAGCAAAATGCTGACAGTTAATAGTCCTACCTTTATACTCGAACACTATGCGTGTGAGTGCCAACACTGTACAGGTGATCATGGTGACGGAGCCTGTGAGTCCTGCATACACCAACATCAAATACTGCTCCATTGCATCTGGATCAGACAGAGACACTCAGTTACAATGAAACCCTCACAACGAACTTATCAAATCCTCAAACTGAAACATTTGTGTCCATGCATACACAATAAAAACAAGATGCTACCTTTTGTGTTGCCACAGAAGCGGACAAAAGCATTTCCTATTTCCACCAGAAGAGTGTAGGCATTCTTGCGAGCTCCAACAGAGACCTCCTTGGTACATATGATCACCTGAAAGAGAAAACATCCTTAGAAAAACCAACAAATATGAGCACACAATATTTGTGTGTTTGCCAGCACTTATTTTTATTGGTACCTCTGGCAGCAGCGCAGTGATAAAGTCTTTGTGTTCTTCATTTAACCTTTTCACGATGTGGATCAGACACTTCAGTCTCGGCTGAGAAGAAGAATCACAAAAAGCAAAACATGATCAGACACTGGAAACCAAAACATGCAGATTCATCTCATGTTTTGTTCACTTTGTTTCTCTCTACAAAGCTGTCTCACCCTCTTTGCTGGTGAAGAAGCCTTTTTCAGAGTCTCAAGCAGGACGACTTTGAGTGTTTCCAGATTAGAAACAACAAACGATTTACACTCCTCTCTCTCAGCTCCGCACATCTCCTCCAGCACACGGTACGCCTTCTTCTGCATGCCGGGCTCTTTGGTCTGAAAACAAACGCACCAACAGACACAAAGTTAACCAAAAAACATACTTCAATAGACTTGAATTTAAAAAAGAAAGAAAAAAGAACTTTTTAAAAAACTACATATTTCTTTTCATATATAAGTGCACAAAATGAAATATACACACATGTGCAGAAATGCATACAGTTCTTACAACACAATTCATTTAGAACAGGGGTGTCAAACTCATTTTCATCCTGGGCCATCATCCATAAGCATTATGTTTACCCTCAAAAGGCTGCTTGTAATTGTAAGACTGTATAAATGTAACGACTCCTTAACATATTATTAAATAATTGTCTCTGCATTTGATTATTATTTATTATATGTACAACTATTGTGCATGCCTTTATCTACAAGTAAAACACATGTAGCAGGGCTCCAGACTAACTTTTCCAATGGCAGCAAGGTGCTGCCAACTTTCTTTGTTGGTCGTACCAGCTAATGATTTGGTCGCCCACCCCCTTGTTTTGGTTCAGCACTATTCACCACAGCTATTAATGCACCATGCAGCTGATGAACAGTTGTTTCTGCATAACTTAGTTATGTTGCAGTGATTTTCAGTGATACAAGACTTGATATTTGTAAAATGTTTTAACCTGAAAATATATTTATTTTGTCACCAGTCCTCTTCTGATATCAGTCATTAGCTGGACACAGGCTCATCATTTGTGTATGAGCTGATGCTACATTTTACCGATGTTCCCTGAACGCCTCACATGCTGCTCCGGTAGATCCTACATTTTACAGATGTTCCCTGAACACCTCACATGCTGCTCCGGTAGATGCTACCAGGTGTCTGCAGTGCAGCTCCTCTGACAGGTGAGCGACCAAACATTTGTTGGAAAACAGTGGAAAGTGCGTTCTACACTAATTTGCCGAAGTTGAAAAGTTTTCTTTTAGCTTATTAGTTTTTAGCGGAGTTTTTTATGAACAGACGTTTCTACGAGCTGAGCGCATTTTAAATGTCCAGACCACTGGCCATCATGTTTACAGAGTCAAAATCGTGATCGTCGTTAAAATGTGAATCTTCCAGATTGAATGTGGGGCTACTTTGTCTTCCTAACTGACTCAGTGGAGATCTGTCTGCCTGCACCTGAACACTTTTATCATCAGGTGTGTCGAACCTCTCCCTCGCTCACCTCGCTTTTTTTTTTTTTTTTTTTTTTTAACATAATCGGCTATGTATCGTTGTGTCATTGGAACACAGTAAAAGAGAAACTTACTGTTTTAGCGTCAGGCAGAGAGAAACTGAGTCAATGTGGAAGAAATGTGACTATTTCCAACCACAATAGCTGGAGCAGCAGCTACCTGTGCTGACGGAAGGAACCAGATCAGCCTGATGATCATCGTTCACTCGCACAATGCGACCGCGTGAAACTTCAGCTGGCACACGCTCATAAATACATACATACATTGTTGTGTTATTATAGCATAAGTTATAACATTATATTACATTTTATTATATCAGGTAAATCCTATTATTTATCAGATTAGGAAACACACATCTCTCGTGGGCCACATAAAATTACGTGAGGGGCCGGATTTGGCCCGCGGGCCTTGAGTTTGTCACGTGTCCTACAGTGTTGACTTTCAAAACAAATGCCGTTGCCTAGCAACAGAGGCCCAGCAACAGAGGCCCCGCCCACTGCAGAGAACGCGTATGATTGCTTTGATGCCGTTGAAGTGTTGATGACGTCAGCTGATGATGTCAAAAAGTTTCTTAAATGGGGGACACCAACCAGAAGTCAAGTATTGCTAGATTCTTCCCGAGTGATTTACTTATTTACCGAGTATCTCAATCGCAAGACTCACGACATCCATTGACCGTCTGTTACCGAAGAACTTCTTCGCAAACAGCACTCGAGCACAGAAACCCAACAACGCCTACTCAGGTTTAGTTTTCTGTTCTTTACTTACAGTACTTTGTTTTTACGCTGCAATGGCACAAAAGAACCAGCAACGTAAATATGTCTCTCGCCGCAATGCACAACGTGAGGCAGCCGAGGAGGAACTCTGCTCGCTTGGTAATCAGGACCAAATCGAGGAAATGAAGCTGCACATTAAAGAGCTGGTGGGTGAGAAGGAGCAGCTTTGTAAGGAAGTCCACAGCTGCAAGGAGGAAATCTCCAAGCTGAAGGAGCTTCTGAAGAACAAGGAGAAAACGCTGGAGTCCAGCCCCGTGGAGGTAAAGGTCTCCACCAAGAACAAGAAGTCTCCCCCGGTGACCAAAGAAGACGAAGGCCTCCAGACAGAGCAGCTGGACCAATCCAAGCTGGAGACAGCCGATTTCAAAAGGCTGCAAGGACTGCAGCAGAAGATCAAAACCCTCCAGGGTGAAAAAACACTTTGGATAAAGGAAAGGAAAGAAATGGCGGCGAAAATGGAAGATCTCGAGAGGCAGAAAAAGGAACTGATGGAGGAAAAGGTTCCACACCTGCAAAAAGGAGGCAAGGCGTTTCAAGAGGAGACCAAAGAAATGCGCAAGGAGATCAAAGAGCTGCAGGAAGCCAAGAAGAAACTCCAGGAGAAAAACAAGAAACTGGAGAAAGATCTAGGGGCAGAAATAAAGAAAGTGGAAAAGATTAGCAGCAAGGTGAATAGTGGTAAATGGGCGATTGCACACAAGCTTATTTCTGTCACTGGCGAGCTAAAGTACCTAAGGTCCTCCAACGAGACCCTGGAGCAGCAAAATAAGCAGCTGACCACGGAGACGGAGAGAATGTCGGTGGAGATAAAGCTTCTGCAAGAACAGAATGAGAAGCATGAAGACTCCAAGGCAAAAATGAAGGAGGCCTTCCTCAAACTTAAGAATAAAAATAAGGATGAGAAGAAGGTAATTGAGGAGGAGAAGCTGAAGCTTGGAGAGGAGAAAAACGAATTGGCAATTAAGATTACAGCCCTCCAAGAGTCCAGCAAACAACTGGAGTCCTCAATCAAAGACCTCCAGCAGAAAACTGAAGAATTGGAGGGAAGAAATAAAACTCTCCATGATGAGAATAAAAAGCTGAAGGCTGAAAATAATGACCTCCAGGAGGACAAAGAAGCTCTGCGGGGGAAGAATGAAGACCTCAAAAAGGTCAAAGAACTTCTGGAGGTGACAAACAAAGACCTCCAGAAGGACAAAGACTTTCTGGAGCAGGGCCAGAAAGTGATGCAGCAGGAGATTCAAGTCCTGCTGGAAAAGAGCCAAGAAGTGGAGGAGTCACATAAAATCCTGGAGAAGGACAACGAGGAGCTCCAGGAGCAGCTCATGAAAAAGCGCCAGAAGAAGAAATTCTTCGGTCTTTTCAGGAGCTGCGAGCAGAAGGAGGAGGAAAGAAGGCTCAAAAGAGAAAAGAAAGAGAAAAAGCTGCAGGAAAAAGAACAGCAGAGGCAGCAACGAGAGAGAGAGCTGGACCAGAGGACAAGGTCAGAAGGTCGTTCACAAGGAGAACGAAAAGTTGGGTGCTGCAGTTGGTTTCATTAAACCTTCTGTTTGCACCCTGAGGTGGAGAAAGATGGGATGCCTTCGATCGGTCTCCCATCTCTCCCCACCTCCCATCACTCTGCCATCTCTCCCCACCTCCAGTCATGCCTCCCATCTCCTCCCATCTCTCCCCACTTCCAGTCATGCCTCCCATCTCCAGTCATGCCTCCCATCTCCTCCCATCTCCAGTCATGCCTCCCATCTCTCCCCACCTCCAGTCATGCCTCCCATCTCCTCCCATCTCCAGTCATGCCTCCCATCTCCCCCCACCTCCAGTCATACCTCCCATCGGCCTCCCATCTCTCCCCACCTCCCCCCACTGAGGGCAGCACGGCGGCGACAGTGAGGAGCACTGTAGCCGCACAGAAACACCGCCACCTGTTTCTGTGTGGAGTTGTGTGTTCTCCCCGTGTTTGCGTGGGTTTTCCCCGGGTTCTCCGGTTTCCTCCCACAGCACCAAAAAAACACAAACCCCGTTAGGCTAATTGGACACTCTAAATTGACCCCAAATTAGAGAGAAGGAAAAAAGATAAGAAAAGATTTTTTTTTAAAGATTTAAGAAAAAAAAAAAGATTTAAAACATATAAGAAAGAAAAAAAGATAAGACAAGATTTAAAAAAAAGATAAAAACACACACACACACACACAAAAAAAAAAAACCTCAGTAACTCTGCCAGAGTGTCTCTTTGAGTCACTCTGCCGGTCCCAAGCCCGGATAAAGGAGGAGGGCTGAAGCAATTCCACTATTGCACTTATTTCAAAAGCAAAATTATATAATAGAAAAAGAATCAACAGAAGAAAGTTCACTTATAGTTTTAAGCATATTTATCTATTTATCCATCCATCCATCCATCCATCCATTGTCTTCCACTTATCCGGGGTCCGGTCGCGGGGGCAGTAGGCGGAGCAGGTCGTCCCAGACCTCCGTCCCCCCGGCGACGCTTTCCAGCTCTGCCTGGGCGATCCCGAGGCGTTCCCAGGCCAGCTGAGAGATATAATCTCTCCAGCGGGTCCAGGGTCTGCCCCGGGGTCTCCTCCCAGGTGGACAAGTTCGGAAAACCTCCAGAGGAAGCCTCCCCGGAGGCATCCGAACCAGATGTCCAAACCACCTCAACTGGCTCCTTTCGACGCGAAGGAGCAGCGGCTCTACTCCGAGCTCCCTCCGGATGTCTGAGCTCCTCACCCTATCTCTAAGGCTGAACCCAGCCACCCTGCGGAGGAAGCTCATTTCGGCCGCTTGTATCCGTGATCTCGTTCTTTCGGTCATGATCCAAAGCTCGTGACCATAGGTGAGGGTTGGGACGTAGATGGACTGGTAAATCGAGAGCTTTGCCTTGTGGCTCAGCTCTCTCTTCACCACGACGGTCCGGTACAGCGCCCGCATTACTGCTGACGCCGCACCGAGCCGCCTGTCCATCTCACGCTCCATTTTCCCATCACTTGTGAACAAGATCCCGAGATACTTAAACTCCCTCGCTTGAGGAAGCAACTCCCCCCCCATCCGGAGGTGGCAGTCCACCGGTTTCCGGCAGAGAACCATGGCCTCGGACTTGGAGGTACTGATCCGCATCCCTGCCGCAAACTGCTACAGTGAGTGCTGAAGGTCGCGGTCTGATGGAGCCAACAGTACCACGTCATCTGCAAAAAGCAGAGACGAGATCCTGAGGTCCCCACACCGGACACCCTCCTCTCCCTGACTGCGCCTTGAGATCCTGTCCATGAAAACCACAAACAGGATCGGTGACAAGGGGCAGCCCTGGCGGAGTCCAACACCCACTGGGAACCTGTCCAACTTATTGCCAAGAATGCGGACACAGCTCGCACTTTGGTTGTACAGGGACCGTATGGCTCGTAGCAGTGAGCCTGGTACCCCATACTCCCTCAGTACTCCCCACAGAGTTCCTCGGGGGACACGGTCATAGGCCTTCTCCAGATCCACAAAGCACATGTGGACTGGCAGGTCGAACTCCCATGCCCCCCTCAGCAGCTATATTTGGTTTGTTTTTTTTAAAAACTCATTTTAAGTAAAGAAGAACCTACAGAGTCCATTACAATCACATGCAAATGGTCAGTTATGCAAATTAGGCGATGACAGCACTCAATACACTGTTAAAAATGTATAACTGTTTTTCACTGTGTTTCTTGAAAATGTTTTCAACAATTTACTGTTGAAAAAAACAAAACAAAACATTGATCTGTAAAAAAAAACAAACAAAACAAAACAACCCCCCCCCCCAAAAAAAAGTGTGAAAAAAACGTGTTAAAGGTTCATTCAATGGGTAATTAAAAATATATCCAGATACACATGTATATCCAAAAGTATTTGATATATCAATATAACATTTTACAGATGCTTTTTTAAAATAGCCATAGTTACTGAAAAAGTTTCAAGCAATTGAAAGATGATCGAGCAGAGGTCCTCTGATGATTTAAGATGGAATAAATAACCCACTGGTGTAATATCGTAGGTGACCTGACAAAATGTTGTGTATATTATGATTTTATATATAACACGTCAGTTCAGTTAAAATGAATTCAGGTCTGTTTTTACGGGCAATCATTCCAATTTGTCTGGGTGGTTAATAACACAGCTGTCTGTGATGTCACAAACTCAGAACAAATGACTTTAACTGCTTTACAACGACTTTTAGCATATTGTGCGTATGCTTACCTCCAAATATGGTCTAATCAGCTCAAAGGTTTTAGTCATGGTGGCCTCGTCTACAAAAGGAGCCATGGCAACCACTAGGTCCATCACTGACAGCCTGAGAGGTAAAAAAAAAAAGAGACCAGAAGAAAAGAAGGAACAGATGGGAAAGTAAATATACGGATGTTTACCATATCCTAGAATATGTATGTATGTCACTCATTCAGAAAGAGATATTTCTTCATCAACATATCCACATTTATGTCCTACCGTGTGAACTCAGTGGACTGTGTGTTGGTCAGTCTCTCTGTGGCTTTTTGCAGGAATGTGGAGACCATCTGAGGATGATAGTTTTATTTAGTGATACGCCTAAGTGAAATTATGTAAACAAACACTGTACCGCACAAGAAAACTAGGCAGCACATGGCACGAAAACTTAACTCACCTGCATTTCAGTGACAGTTAAATAGACTTTGATGGTGTCCAGTACAGCCATCCTGTAGGTTCCAGACTCTCCAGCTGCAGGCTGCAGACTGTACACGTTGAAAAGGATGGGCAGGAAGTTTTTAGAGAAGCGACCCACTTCAGCTTTTTCCTCCTCTGCAGACACAAGAGTTTGTAAGTTACTTGATTCAAGAGACTCAAGCGGCTTGTATGTCTTGTCATATGTCTTCCTACCAGTGGAGCAGCTCTTGTTGATGATGGTGCGTAGAGCCTGGCACACTGTGAGTTTCAGGTCTGGCCGCTCGTTAACAGCCATACCGAGTGTGCGGGCGATGCCTTTGAAAGATTTGATCAAGTCTACGGGACATGTGCAGAAGCCAGGAAGCATGGTCCAAATCTGAAAAAGGAGCACATGGCAGGATGACCCACCGGAAGCTTGGAAACATATATTATCTTTTAAAAAATAAAAAAAAATTTACTTCTAAACTGTTCCTGAACAAATCACATGTTAAAAATCAACCATATTAAAGATTAAAATCAAGAAATTAAATCCAAAATCCCATTATTCTGCATGTTTCTCTCACAAATGTTGTACGTTTGTTTGTTAACTCAATGAATGAATGAATGAATGAATCAGTGAATGAATCAATGATGAATGAATGAATGGATGGATGAATGAATGAATGAATGAATGAATGAATGAATGAATGAATGAATGAATGATGAATCAATCAATCAATCAATTCAGAGGTTCAAAGGGTTAAGACAAGAACACACATTAAGTGTGATAAGCTACCTGAAGTTGTAAGGTCTGGTAGACTTTGGCCTCCAGCTTCTGTCCGGCTTGCTCCAACTCTTCAGCTACGACACAAGAACAGATCCACCAGTTGGTACACAAACCCCTTCCCCAGGTACCCCACCCTTAAGTAGAGCATTTTACACTTAGTTTACCTCTCTGCTTGAGTGTAGAGGCCAGAGGGAGGAAATAAGAAGCAAAGAAACCGAGGTGAGTGTTCTTCACATGATCCCGTATGACGGGGATCAGCCAGCTGCGTGGGAACTCCAAGTCGTCACTGATAGGAAAGAGAAAAAAATAAAATACAATCAAGCACAGTAAGTTAAAGCAACATGAACAAGATGGGCCCTCTACAGCGTTTGTGTAACTGCATGTGTACTTACTCGTAGCCGGTGATGTTGAGAGGCACAGCACCCAGAACAACTTCAGGCCCCATGCTCTCCACAGCTCCTCCTATAGCCAGATCCAGCTCCCCGCTGAAGGGAAACTGAGGAGTGGAGCGCAGGTCTGCCAGCGATTGCAGGGACTGTCCAGAACACAACACAAACACTCAGGCAAACATCTACCTTTTTTTTTTTTTAACTCACATTGTGATCCATAAAGTTCTGTAACTATACCTTAGTCATGATGGGGTGAGCTTGTTTCCCTGCGGCTCGATAGAAGCAACCGAGGATCTGCAGCACAAACGGCCAGGAGGCATGGAAGCGATAGGACAGTCCGTCCTCTATGATACTGGAACACATACACACAGTCAGAGTTATCACGAGGAGCATTTCCACGTAGTCTCGACAAACAGAAGGGGAGAGTAGCTTGTCAAACAGCTAGGTATCGTACCGAAACATTTTGCAGACATAAGAAGGGTTCCCTGCAGAGGCGGAGGCAGTGATCATGCCCATTTGCTCCATGTGAGGGGTAACACATTCAGTCAACAAAGTCTGAAAGAGATAAGCATGAATCGCTTAATAAAGAGGTTGCATACACTGTAAAAACAACCAACATCCCTTACAGAAATGCAAAAATTCTAATACAATCTAGAAATACCCCGCACCCTCACAACTCCTGATACACTAAACCAGCTTTATGGTCACTAAACTTGCATTTCCTTTACCTTTA